ATACAAAGGAATTTGAATTTGGACGATGCCATATTCCTTATTAGATTAGATGTCACTTTCTTTAGTTTAGCAGCTCCGGTATCGGTAGCATTCACAGCTGATTCTTGAACTAATAACCATAAAGCAGAGACAGAGAGAGGAATGAGTACCACAGACGAGCTACTAAGGCAGAGAGAGGCTACTTTCTAACAACCATGTTAGCAAGCCTCAATTACATCGACCCTTTCTTTTTTTCTTTCAAACCCTATTGCCATCTTATTTTCCGAATCTAAATCAAACTAGTATCCACCTTCCTCCTTTGCCGGTATCCTACGATCTATTGACTAAGTCATTTCACACTAAGCACTGAGAACATGGGCCCGTACCGTGCTACTGCCTTTACCTAGGATTCTTTTCCTCACATCGGATTCTTAACTAGAAAACTGAAGCTTGCGAGATTGCTTGGTACCCTTTGCACTGTTTGCAAGCCTTTTCCCCTTGGACAGATAGCGTTGGGAAGGAGAGAAGGAAGGCAATCTGAACTAGCTGGAGCGTAAATACCAATGGTAGGAACATTAGATAGGTTGGCTAGGAAGACTCTTTCTTTAGGTCTAGTGGGTGAACTATTTTAGAACTCTCTTTTCTAACTTGCTAACTAGAGCATACACTCTAGAAAGAAAGCATTATTCTGCTACCTAAGAGGTAGGGCTTGCTATAAGATGCTATAAGATACGGCATGGAAATCTCTTCCTAACAGTGACAAACAATTTGTATTTGATCGAAAGGTCTGGCCCAACGTATTCACATCGTTGAAATACGAGGTAGCAGCCTTCGCTTTGCAATTGCGTTTGATTCATTCTTGGGAGGGTGTTTTCAGTCCTGGGATAATGTTTGTCAAAAGGGTCTTATGGCCCCTAGATATTCAGTCTAATACCCAGGCGAGGATTTGCGCTTTTATGACCGGTTTGGTCTTTGATCAATTGGCTAGTGCTTATGAGGGTGTGTATCTTCGTCCAGGTAGGTTTGCTCAGGTTATGGAAGGTGCCGGGAAAAGGCGTTTGTTTGTCATAGGTAACTATGTCAAACAGCGTCTTCTCCGCCCTGTACACGATTGGGCTATGTCGGTTTTAAGCCGACTCCCATCAGATGGGTCCTATCATCAGGTGCCATCCATCGGTTATCACGCTGGGCTCCAAAGGAGTGTTACTCTTTTGACTTGAGTTCAGCCGCCGACCGGTGGCCTGTGTCCATTATGCATGATTTAGTAGCGTGAATTTTCGGGCCAACTATGGCTTCGTGTATAGTTCATGGTTGTCTAGCCTTAAACGCAGCTTACTTGGGCTTCCCTCTCATTAAGGGAAAACCAAGGCAGTTGTGTTTCGTTGTTGGACAGCCATTGGGCTACTACGGCTCTTGGGCTCTCTTCGCGCTGTCCCACCATTATGTGGTGTGGATGGCGGCCCATCGTGTAAATCAAAATCGGAGGTATCCATTTACTCGATACGCTCTGTTAGGTGATGATATTGTAATCGCCGACGAGCGAGTGGGAGTATGTTAGGCTTTGAAGTTATGGTAAAGATCTTGGACGCAAAGTCCATTAGGTCGAAAACTGGGGCGATAGAGTTCGCGAAGCAGTTCTGGGTAGATGGGATCCAAAAGGACCTCTCCCCAGTATCTGCTCGTGCAATTCTGGCGTCTAACTCTCTAGTAGGTTACTGTCAGCTTGCAGCTAAGTATGGGGTGGATAAAACCGCCGTGCTTCAGTTTGCGGGAGCGGGTTTCCGTGTTCGGGCTCGTATGGATTCTCCTACTATCAGCAGGAGATATAAGAGGATCCAGCGAATGCTGGACAAGCCCCCAATGGGAGTCATGCCCCGGAAAGAGGCTTCGTCACCAATCGGGAAAGACTGGCAACCTTTAGAGTGGTGGATAGGGAGGGGGAAGCCCCTCTCTCCCTACCTGAAGGGGATTATTGTCAGTTCGGCTTGAGGGTAGTAGGCCTAAACAATTGGCCCTACCGCCAGAGGACCTGATGTTCGAGGGAGAGCGGGTGAATTCCGAGTACACTCTTCTCCGTAATTGGATGGAGATGTGGCTCAATCACTTATTGTGGTTTGCTCGTTTGCACCTAGACCCCGATCCTTCCTTTCATGATCTTTTCAACCCTCCGGTCGTATGTACAACATACAAACGGAATGATCGTTATGACCTTAAAGAAGGCGTGTGGCGTTTCGGCTTGTTATGGAGGATGTATGATCTGGGGGAGGGGAAAGGTCCTGGCTGGACCCCACCTTGTCTGATGGCAGGTGAGGGTGTAAAGGAGGATTTATCAACCCATGCTGAGGCCGGTAAAGTAATAATACTGGCCTCGTATCAGGGTATACTGTTAGTCTGTGACTAAGGCTACAGTGGAAAAGGTAGACTTAGACATAAGTAGATAAGAACGAATCGGATCGCCTCATTCTTGAACCATGGGTGAAAATGTGGCTAATCTCTGCGAAGGTTCGCAGGAATATGCTCTTTGCCTTTAGCCTGGCACTTTCCATTTCATCAGCTGCTGTTAGCTCTCCAGGTAGCGACGGAACTTAGGGATGAACGGATTTCTAAGTTTTCCGCTTTGACTTTAAAGAAGAAAGTGACGAAGTCTCCCCGACTTTGATTTGGGGCCCGGCTACGATCCGATCTGTCTTCTCTTATGCTAAGATATTTCTAGTTACCTTGCAAACACTCTAAGACGCAACAACAACGGTTATTCAACTAAGACTTTTCTTCCGATAACAAGAACAGAAACACCGGTTGTTGCCTACACTGGTTATTCAAGACCGGCTACGAGAGCTGTACCACCGAATACTGAATCAATTGCTAGTCTTCCCACACCGCTGACTTTGACAGAAGCGGATTGCCAAGAGTTGATTCATTACCATTTGTCCTGAAAAGCCCAGGTGGAACATACAGTAAACCCTGCCCCAGTCATTCTAGCAGAAACTTTCCGATCACTTCATCATTGTAGACTCTGTGGAGAAGGAAGGTTCGTAGGATGTTAAGCAACATTTGACCTACGCCACACTTTCGATTCCCCTAATCGAAGGCATTGAAGGTCGGCAAAAAGCAAGCTAATTCGGGGAAACGGCTCTCTTCCAAATTCGAAGACAGAGGGAATTTGGCTATACCACACAAGATGACAGGCAGTGAATATCCCCGAGTGCCTCTTTTCCGCGAACTCTTTCAGTAAGAATGTGGAACTCTTATTCGTGACTTTTGATCAAGACGAGGAGGAGCTCCTCTTTTTATCAATCGTAACAAAGCAGAAATGATTTCGTCTTGTAGGGACGACCGACTTGGAATTGGAATGCAATGTTGGCATTTACATTCCCTTTTTCAACTTCGGATTCAAATCCTTTTTTGGTTCCCGGCTTACTCTAAGCTAGACAAAATCCCTTCTTTCAAAGTCACTAGAAAGATAATAAAAGAATCAAAAGCTCTAATGAGCTAACCAATCCTCCTATCCTATGGGAATGCTTTCCTAAACTCTGATTGCTCTTGCCGCTGTGATCTTTTCTCTTGCTTTTTTTCGTCTGCTCTATTTAGATTGCAGTGGGGCGCATATACTCATTCACACTCTCTTTCTCTTTGCCGGAGCGTCGCTTGTCTACCTAATTATGCTATCCGAAAGCAAAAATGAAGTTATCATTTCCTTCTTTATATATATAATTCTAAATTTATCGATCGGTTTTTTCCTGGCAAAATCCGTCATGACGTTCTTTCTAGTGGCTTTCGTTTTCCTTTTGTCCAATCTTTTCTTCGCCAGCTTCCCTCTTTTAAAGGCTAGAAGGAGCAAGAAGCCCTTGTCCCATATCCTTTTAGCGAATAAGAGAGAGGGCATCCAAATCCTCCTCGTTGCCTATTTCCTTGTCTTGGGGGCTCTTCTTAGGCAATTGAGTAGTGGATCTGCTGATCTGGCTCTGTATTCAAATTGGCTCCAGGGACTCGGGATTCAGATCGGATTCCTGATCATACTTGTTTATTATTTTCGAAAGGATTAAGGTAGTCCTAGTTTACGGTGGGTGGGAAATTATTATCTTTAGGTCTTTTCTTTGCCATGGGATGTTATACTAGGCTTGGCTGGAGTGCCTTTATTTTTGCTAGATGGTGGTCGGAGTATGACAGTGAAAGAGCAGGACATCTTTCACGTACAGAAAGGCAGGCCTTTCTCATGGTGAGTTCTCCTTTGTTGGGTTGCTTCCGTGAGAAAGGGAGGGGGGAGTGGTGAGGCGGGCCCCTCTCTAAAGATCTTTTCCTCTTTAGCTTATTTCTTGGTCATAATTAAGCAATTGTCTCAGTTTGAGTTATTACTCTAGCTGCAACCTATCTCATATTGGGGAGAAGTCTACCGCTCTCGATCAAACTATCAATTGAATAAGAGAAGACGAGGATGCATGTAATTCAGGCTGATCTCCTCAACGGAGGATTGCAATCCGTTGTGAACTACGTCCCTCTCCTTTCAGTCGAACCAAGAGTCTTCACTCCGCTCCCTACCTAAAGGTAGAGTCAAAACATTAGCCGCCAAGACCGAAAGAGCAGCTGATTGCTTTAGTCGATCTCTTTTTCTTGACACTCCTCCTCTGCGCCGTGCTCTCTAAATAGAACCTCTGATGAAAGGCTGCCTTCCTTTCGATCCAGTCCGACTAACTGTTCTGATGATTATCCGCCTAGTGATGAATCTTATCCGCTTATACCTCATGAGAGAAGGAGTCTGATTTAGGAAAAGAAAGAAAGAGAAAGGAAGAAATAGGAAGCAGAAAGAGTCCCCTCTGCGGATGTGAACTATACAAATGTGAAAAAGAGTTGGAATTTGACCTTCTGAATTTGCCTTTACCTTGAAAGCAGTTCTCAATTCCATCGACCCTTTGGCGAAGTAGGTGACTTTGGAAGCTCAAAGAAGATCTCAATCAGCAGAAAGACCGGATTTGAGTCTTAGTTTTGGATTCTAAAGTGAGTCCTATCTCTTAGCAAAGGAAATG